CACAACTTGGACATTTTATTCAACCGTCACTAAAAAAACCTTTGGAGGACCCAATTAAAAAATAATAATTTCTGAAAAACTTCGTTGATTTTCATGGATTTTTATTGGGAATTACACCACCTAGAACAGTGATGGCGAACCTTTTTTAGTGTGCGTTAGGGTGGGCCGAAAAAATTACTTTTTGAATTCAATTTAGGGGTACCAAAAAAAAGTTTCCTTATGCCAAAAGTAGTTTGTAAAAAAAATTTAGCGTACTAGCCCAATTTTTAAGGGCCCCCCTGGGGGCCAAAAATATTATTTTTTTATATTTTGTTTGGGGTGGCAATAAAAAGTTGCATTATGTTGACAATAATTGTAGAAAAAAAATTAGCGTACTAGCCCAATATTTAGGGGTGCCCCGGGGGCCCAACATTTTTTTTTATATTTTAATTGGGGTAGCCACAAAAAGTTACCTTATGTTAACAATATGTTTACAAAAAAAATGTCCGATATTGGAATTTGATGTCAAAAATTTGGCGGTTTAGGGTTAAAAATGTTTATAAATTTGGAAATGTTTTTTAAAATAAAAGAACTAAAAATATTTATAAGTCAAGCAGACGACTTCTATATAAGGTTTGACAAGTTACCCTTTCAAACGCAAGCGGTGGAAAAGTGTGTAAAGCTTGTAACAGAAGCTGCATTAAAATTTTGCTGTGAGGTAGCAAGAAATGGTTATATAGATGCGCGGACATCTTTACCGGCCTATATGACAACAAGTCTCAATATTATGTAATAATAAAAAAACTGGGTGGGAGGGAGCGGGTGGCACTCTAGGAGCAACTATCCAATTAATTAATAATAATAATAAAAAAAATTTCTATATTATTTATATGTATGGTATTAAAATTATATTGTTTTGATTTATTTATCATGTATACTGTACCAATATTTATTACAAGACTCTTTTTGGCATTTAACTGAAGTCTTTACTTCTTTTTTTAACTGAAGCATTTACTTCTTTTAAGACTTTATTTATTTCGTTAGTGGCTGTGTTAATTAATTTAGAGTAACGCATAATTTTTTTTTAATTTAATAAAAACAAGCTAAGAGTTGCTAATTGTTTTTATCAAAAGGCGTCTTAATAAAATAATAAAAAAAACTATTAGACTGATACAGACATTTGGTTTTTCTATGCAATAATATATGGGGTAACTTTTTGTTGCCATCTCAATTAAAATATAAATAAAAAAATTTGGGCCCCCAGGGCACCCTTAAATATTGGGCTAGAATGGCTATTTTTTTCTAAACATACTGTTAACACGAGGTTACTTTTTGTGGTTACCCCAATTAAAATATGAAAAAAAAAATATATTTTGGGCCTCCGGGGCACCCTTAAATTTTGGGCTAGTACGCTCATTTTTTTTCTAGAATTACTGTTAACATAAGGTAACTTTTGTGGTTACCCCAATTAAAATATATAAAAAAATATTTTGGGCCTCCGGGGCACCCTTAAATTTTGGGCTAGTACGCTCATTTTTTTTTCTAGAATTACTGTTAACATAAGGTAACTTTTGTGGTTACCCCAATTAAAATATAAAAAAAAATATTTTGGGCCTCCGGGGCACCCTTAAATATTGGGCTAGTACGCTCATTTTTTTTCTAGAATTACTGTTAACATAAGGTAACTTTTTGTTCCCACCCCAGTCAAAACATACAAAAAAAATATTTTGGGCCCCCGGGGGACCCTTAAATAATAGGCTAGTACGCTACATTTTTTTCTAATCAATTACTTTTAACATAAGGTAACTTTTTATTACTACCCAAAACTAAATATCTCAAATATTTTTTTTACGTTTTTCGGCCCACCCTAGTGTGCGTGCCAAAAAACCTTTAAAAAAATTTCAAAATGTAACGTGCCACATGTAAATTTTTATAAGTGTTATGAAGATGAAAGTATACAAAAACATTATAAAAAAAGTAAATCATTATTTAGAAATTTTTTTAATTAACTGTTATATTTTAAGAAATAAATTTAGTCTCGTTTTTTTTTATTAGATCATATATGTACCGTACGATTTAGAAGAAATAAAAGATCAAAATCTAACATAGATGCATACTTAAAAATAGATGTTCATAAAAATTGTAAATAGAATTATTTTATTTGGAGCATTAAATTACTAAAAAGGTTCTATGTTTTAAATTTCAAGAAAATGGCATTTTTGTTTTTTATAAAAATAACCCATTTTGTTTTAAAATTCATGGTTCTTTTTAAAACCATTATTGTTCAAGATATTTAAGTCTATATGGTATCAAAATCTAGCTTATTCTTACGTTAAACTTTTTAATAAAACATTCAAGATTATAAATTAAAGCTTTACAAACAAAGAAGTTTTATCGTTGTTTCTATTTAACACCTAGATAAAATTCTAGCGATATTCATTAAAAATTGTAAAATTTGTCGCTTATGATTACAAGGCTAACATAGACATTAAATTTTGCGGAGTTTAGTTATAAGTTATGTTTTAATTGGAATAAAATACGCAAATTATTAAACTTAAAAATTAGCTTAAGATAAACAAATTTTGTTCTCAAAACGTGCCCAAAAAAGTTTAAAACGTGCCACTCATGGCACGCGTGCCATAGGTTCGCCATCCCTGACCTAGAATATTAATAACCCCTTTGAGCAGAAAGGGAAAATGTTCTTAACTTCAAAAAATACGTAACTGTCAATATTAATGAACACTTGATAATTTGTAATAAAATAATTTTCTTTACGTAAGTAACAAAACTAGTTATTTTTATAATAAAAATACTTTTTTGTACGTTTCTCCCTAAATAGGTATTAGGTTTTAATTTAAATTATTGATTTCTTTCCGCAAGTTAACAAAATATAGTTGTAAATCTAACTTCTGATATCTGGCAACACTGCTGGAAGTTAGTACGACGTGACCGTAAATCTTTCATATATATGCGGAAGTGATTTCGTATATTAGTTGCTTCCAAATATATACATTTTAAATCTTCACAAAATGCTTCCCCTCTTTTGACAACCGAATTGTAGACCTTCCCCTCTTTCAAACGCACCCTAATATATACGTTTAAAATAACTGGTAATACCGGAGGTCAGGGCGCCACGTCAACCTATCGGAAGTCACTGCTTACCAAACACCAATATATATATATATATATATATATATATATATATATATATATATACGGGAAAAAGTTTAGAGGAGTCAAATCTGATGAGCAAACCTAGCCTAGGGTGTCTTATTTCGACCTCAATATTAGAATAACAGTAAGATTTTACGTCAAATCTATTGTAAATTTAATACATTAGATATATAGTCAATAATCAAAAACGCCTTTGTTATAAATTGAATGGTGTTGGATAGGTTGTGGGATCGGGTTTTGAAAGTAAATTTCCTTCAGAGTTTATTTCACGCCTCACTGCTACTTTATTGCCACATAATTCTTTATACGTCCTATAAATGGTTGAACCATATGTGAATATTTCCACCTTATCTAAATGTCAACCTGGAATAATAAGTTGTCGCTTTAACGTATAGCTTCGGAGTCTGAAAGATTTCTCATACCGCAGTAAATATCAAAGGAAGATATCTTATGAGTTTCAAAGTATCTCGTTAAATTTTATACGTATGTTTTATTACATTTACAATTTTAAAAACCTAGCACATTATATTTTAAAGCAAAAATGACCTATTGTCTACACATATTTTTTTAGAAGGATGGAAGTGGACGTTAGGATCAGATTATACAAATTTCAAGTATTATTATTACATTTGTACCATTTGTAAAACATGAAAATAACATTACTAGCATGATAAACAGGTTTTTTTTACTGGCAGACAGAAAAATATGACACCTTCTGAAGTTAGTAAAACCCGTTACCTTGCTTGTATTGTTATATAATATATTTCAATGGCCCAAAGCCAAATGTGGCTATCTACATAATCATGATTTTACAGGAGAAGAAAAATAAACTTGTAAGTCTCCATCAAATTAGTTTCAAATACTGCAATACTGTTTTTAATTAAAATAGTGAGTTAGGCCATGATAAAATTTGAAGACAATATTATTTTGAGTCTAACTGCGTAAAAACCTCAAAATTAAAAAAAATTTAGTTGGCCATATTTGGAACCAATCCATATATTTGTTATTTATTTGTAAATAAATTTTTTCGTTTAAGATATGACGCGAAAAAAAAATCAACCTATTTTCCTGTTGTAATAGTACATTATAAACCGAAGAAAGGACATAATATACGTAATAATATGATTCTTCCAAATGACGTATCAAATAATAGTAAATTAACTTATAAGAAACATCCTAATGGTTACCAGATTTTGTATAAATTGGGATATTTTTTATAAATTTATCCTAATTACAAAATTAATATAATTTACGCGAGGCAAAGCAATTGAGCGAAGCACAAAAAGACTTTCTCCTCCGAATAACATATACTATTTTATATTTTACCAAAAAACATTAACTTAGTATGATATGACTGTCTATCAACGATATATGTTATCTTCGAAGGCATAGGCGAAGATAATATGAATGAAATAGGGTATTTCATTATTGTACTGGAAAATTAAAATTAATATAATATTAATAATAATTGTACTAATACAATAATAAATAACTTCTAAGGGCTGAGTTGAGGCTAATAATATTGTTATTATATTATGTTAGAAGATAAAGTCATCTTTTTAGTAATTTATAATATTTTTCTATTGTAAATTCATTAATTACTTTATTATGCCTTACCATATCTTAAGAAAAGCTGAAAAAGGCTATCGCCAAAATGCTTTTGTTTTAAAGACAACCAAATATGGTAACAATATTTATAAGTATAAAAATAGATGCAAATAATGTTGGAATTCCTCCTCCATAGTAGATAAAAGCGAGGAATATAGTAAGTATTTTAAATTGTTCGCGCTAGCACATAAAAATATAACAGAAATGAAATCAAATCCCCAAACTCCCTTCGCTTTTAGTTAGCCAGGCCGGAGCGGCAAATCGAATAAAAATGCAAACAAGCCTCGTGCGTAGCAGAGAAAGAACGAACCTGTACCTGGATTGTCCCGGAGTTTGGGTAAAAAGTTGTTCCAGAAAGCGCAGGCTGTAGCGCGCGGTCCTCTCCCTATACCATTTTTCTCGGCGTTGAAAATAAAATATTGAGGCTGTTCCTTTGTGTACAAAGGCCAGTTCACGTCATCGGTCACTGGTTTCCTGCAACAATAAAAACATTATACTTTAGCTATACTTTACCAATATGTTTCATTTACAAATTATTGTGTTACTGCAAAAATCGATGTGGGGTTTTACGAAATTTGTTGCGCTCATCATTGATCGATAGTTAACATGTCTTGTTTGTGCTGAAAATACTGCATGTGTGCACACTAGGGGTGTTTCATTTTTTTTTCTTGCTGACACATAAAAATTTTGTTTTTTAGGTTGAAAATAAATTCCCTGAAAATTCGAGCCCTTAATTCTAAGTAGGTACTTCTTTTTTAATTTTGTAGTTTTTCCATATAAAAAGCATGTATTTTTAATCATTTTTACTTTAAATTTCTATATTTTGGCCGGGTTTTGAATTATAATTTTTATCACCATAATTTCCTGCATAGTATTCACGGTTTTTGAAAGGCCCTGCATTAATTTTGTTTTTGATTTATTTACGTTGATTGTAGTAGCTCCAAGAGTCGTTTTTTCACTTTTTCTCACATATTTTTGAGAAAATCAAGCGAATGACTGGTTTTACCGAAAAAGTTCAAATAAAAAAGTTGTAGGAAATTTAATTTTTGACAAAAAAGGTTTTTACGTTCATATCACTAAAGTGCTTTGTTGTTAATTGTGTTAAATTTAAAATGCGAAATGCATTGTCAAAATTAAACTGTTCTAAAATGAATTAACCAGGGTCTGCTATCTGACTTGGGACTGTTAGCAATAGAGGCGGAAGTAGCCAACAGTGCAACTTGACCACGTTATAGCCATATTCGCAAAACGCAGACTCTAAAAGCGCTATTACAATAAAAAAATATCAAATATGTCTGTAGAACGCCCTTAGACCAGCCGAGGGGTAAACTACTCTAAAATCAGCGAGACCAACGTTTAACGTTATGTGGACGTTGTACTATGATTTTTTTCTTATTTGACCCTTATCATTCGTTATCAATAGGAAAAAATCCTTATCAATAAAAAAATCCTTTAGCGAAGAGTTGCGCATGACAACCCTTAGCTGTTAATTTCTATGCGATTTTTTAAATTAGAGGTTTACCCCTCGGGACCAGCCTTATGTCCCAGAATGGAATGAAACTATAAAGACGTCCATAGGTAGACCTTTTGGGATATCCTGAAATGTCATTTCTTGTCCCTGGACCAGCCTTAATTTCCCAGAATGGGATGAAAACATTAATTAATTAAAAATATTAATTTAATTAACTTTATAGACAAAATCGCCAATATGTTAAATAATTGCATCAAAAAATCCTAAAAATATTACTAATTAAGTTATAAACAAATGTAGTTGCAATACCTCTCACCGGTGCTTACGCACGCTCGATAACGATAGGTTATCCGTTGGAGGTGTTCATCTTTAATATCACAGCTGAACATTGATTGGAGTGGGGCTGATCTGCTCAGTAACAAATAATGGCTAGCTGATCAAATATGTTTATGTGCAGAAGATTCTTATGACCTAAATATACCCAAGAAGAAGAAAAACCGTGTCCATTTTTTTCTAAACGTTCGGACGTCCTAAAGACGGACATGTGCTAGCTGGGTTACGACGCCTTCCGACGGTCTATTCTATTACCTACTTTATGTACATAAAACACAGCAGACTACAACTTTAAGTATTACGTCGATATAAATTAAGCTTAATTTTCATGTATCCGTTTGTCCGTTATACGTTTGTACTTTTTTCAATAAAATCGTCTGATAAGAAATGTTCTAATTTTCATGCATCCGTTTTTTAATGACGTTTAACGGATTGATTTGGCGACAAATAAAAATTAAGGGTCAGTATATTCACTTTAATAAATTTTCCTAATGCTTAATTGTCATAGTTACAATTATGTCAACAATAATTGTTGACATAATTGTAAATATGACATTTTTTCCGTCCGTCAAGTTTTAACTTCGTACGTCTGACGGAGAAATTTAAAATAATTTTAACTAATCTATCACTACATATCTGTTTTTGATGCCTAACGTTATTTTAAGATACTTTTTTTTCAAATCTTTTAATATTCTTTTAATAATATTGTTAAACGGAAATATAACGTTCGTTATGTGAATAATGTTCTACTTATATGTTTTTATTTAATAATAATAACAGAAAAAAAGAAAAGACAAACAAAAAAATATTAAAACCAGAACTAAAAGAACCTGCTTTTTTAAAACTATACATTTTAATGTAAATTAAGGCTAGTATATTCTTTTTATATGGTATATTTACCTACCTTTAAATTTATTAGACAGCTAACTGTTAAAGTTACAATAATTGTATACTTATTTTGAATACTAACGTATTATTATTTATTACCCCATTTAAAAAAAAAACTAGAGGCTCAAAATACCACAGTCCCAGGACCCGTTTTGACTCTCGGGGCCGCGGCGCCGCGGTCCTGAATATTTCCTATAAACGATTTTAAAAAAATCGTCGTTATCCGAAAATTATTTAGTTAAAGATAGGTAAATATACGATAGTAAAATCCGAACCTCATTTTTCTGTGAAATCAGTACTTGGCATTTTCGAAAGTTTTATTTGCCGACTCTTAAAGACTTATTTGCAATTTTATTTTTTTCTTAATCTTACACATATAAAAAATTGCAGAAGTCGACAAAATTTTGAAAAAGTCGGCAATTTATTAAAACTCACCCGCCTCCCATGATTGGAACCTTCCCTAGCTACGTTCCCGAATACAATTAATTTGTTTTTTATTAATTTAAAATTTATAAAACCTTATATAGTTTAGTTTGTGTAACTTTATGACAAGAAATTCTTTTTAGTTTTACATTATGGTATCCATTATTTGTTCGTACTTTTTTAAATTACTACGGAGAATATGGGGAAAAGAATATTTTTAACTAGGTAAAGTCTGCAAAATATTAAATTCCTTTTGATAGTTACTGAAAGATGATTTATTTTTACAATGAATACATTCTTTTATAACTTTTTTTAAAATCATAAGGAAGCCCATTTATTATTTTAATAAAAATATTCAAAGTGGTTTTTAATAAAAAAAATATTATATTTTTTTCAAGATTACAATAATATTCATATTATAACACTCATAAGTCTATATAAAAAGACAAATCAATACTAGTTCAAAACTCAAATTATTATTAAACTACTTACAGAAATAAAGCTAAAATGTCATCATGTCAGTTGAATATAACCTAAAAATGATGTGACAGAATTGCCTCGCACACAATCTACTGCCTGGGCGATAATATGTGCTTTCTTCGCCTGGTCTATAATGTACTATTTTTGATAGTAAAATTTAAAAACTTTGTCAATTTCTGTTAAAAATAGGAACTTTGATAAAATACCTAGGTAAAATTACTCTAGTTTAGGTGGTAAAATGTAAAAATTAGGTCCATTTCTCTTAAAAATAAAAAATTAGGTAAAATAAAATCAGGTTCAAATGAAATAATTTTTAGCAATTATACTATTTTAGGTAGTACAATTTCTCTACAAAATTAAAATTTTGGTAAAATAAGTGGAATAAAATAAGGTTTAAATGACCCAGCACAAACATGCCATAGGTAGTGATTTTCTCAATTAATTATTTTAAAATTAAAATATAACCAAAAGTGCTTGTCATTCAATCTTCTTTATCTCTGTTGTCAATCTTCTAACAAATGCGTGCAGTCACGTAAGTCGACGTTCTATGCGCGAGTGATTATTAATCATTTGTACGCATTGTACACTTTCCCTCCTTTAAACCGCTGGCTAGCGACGCGTTTCCTATCTATTCTCATGCGGAGTTGAAGCTCCTGAATAAAATCTTCTTAAACAATCCACTGCTTCGGTAAAAAACAAACAAACGCCTTCTTATTTTGGAAAGCCATTTGTATATACATGTATATGGTATATGTTATGGCTAATGTGTTAGTTGGTTAGTTTACAAACTAGCTAAAGCTTGGCTATTTTGTGTTACTAGAAATTTTAGTTTTCATATTATCCAAATTGAATTGGATAGTAGACAAACTATCCAGCTATTTTAGTTTCCCTAATAATTTCAAGTAAATTAGCCAAGATCCTTGGTTATTTTGTAAACTAGCCGCTAATTTAGTTGAAAATACATTTTCAATTAAAATAGCTGACAGTTTGGCTAGTTTATAAACTATCCAGCTAGTTTATAAACTATCCAAGTTTGCACATTAGCCGTAACATATACATGGAGTTCGTACCCCTTTTGTGGGCTGCATGGTTACAGCAAAACAAAAATTGACAGTTGACGTTGACAGTGGTACACAGTAATACCATTGGTAACCAACCAATTTTGAGACAAGATGCTACCGCGCCAACGCGCTAACCGCTAACCCTTGTCTGTGTATTTATTTTTTATTAGTTAGGTATATAATGGTATATTATGTATCAAGTTTGATAAACGTCATTTTGGACAAATTTAATTTAGACACGAGCGTGCTTGCGAAATTGTATACAGGGTGTTTTACATTAGTGGTCCATTTGAAGTTTTTTAAGTCTATTTTTATAAAATATTTTAAACAAAATACCACTTTAGGTTTAACCGGAAGTGACATTAACTTTATTATTTTAAATAAAACACCCAATATATTTTTATATTTTCAAATTCCACAAAAAATTCTGATTAAAATTACTATACCATCTACCATACATAAACTGACTAGTTTTTGAGTTATTAATTTTGCGCGTCAATCAAAAATAGCCTATAACTTTTTTGTTATTAGGTTTGCAAATATTGTGGTGGAATTTTTGGAATCTTAAAACATTGTTTAAAATATTTTTTGTCAATTCTTTAATATTTCTCAACAAATTACCTGAGAAAACCCAGGCTAAAAAACTTTCATATTTTAAATGTAACACCCGGTATGTTTTTACATAATCATATAGTAAATTAAAAAACTTCATAATTTAAGGGATATTTAACAACTTCTAAAATTTTAAATATTATTTTGTATCAAGAAACCTGTGACGGGTGAATTAAAGGTATCTATGGTTACCACGTAATCTGTCA